TAATTATGAATCGCAACGCCATGTGTTGAGAGAAAGAGTCCGCCTTTTTGCGTTCTCTGGTCTGAAACTGGTGAGACGAGGCACGAAAGAAAGCCGTCTCTGGTGTAGGCCAATCAGTTTCAAAGACAATGCAGATATTATATCAGAGCATGTTTGCTTGCATGTTCACAAATAGCGCGTGTGGTTAATGCGAACTTGATCCCTTGAAAAAAGGTTTATATTTGGTGTCTTACCACCTCCTGTTTTATTGCCAGAAAGCGTATGGCGTATCGTTCTTTTTTCATGCACAGAACTTAACTTTGGAGATCCCTTCGAGTTGCCCCTGTTATGCACACTAGGGGGCAGCAACTTGCCCATCTGCACCGGCACACAGCGATGTTTGTTCCATAACATTCCAACCCACTTATTCAGTTCTCAGGAGACTGGAATTTAAGCCGAACTAAGCACAGAACCAAATGTAATATGATTTTATTCATAGACGCCGGGGATATGAACACGACATATTATTTGAATCCGAAACAGCCACGTGGCTCAGCAGTAGAGGTGAGCGGCCTGCACTTGGAATGTTGCGAGTTCAAATCCCTGACTGGGGGTTTGACTCGGCCCATCACCCCGGCAGGGTCTATAAAATAGATACCACTTTGTGGTGCCATAAACAGTGGTCGTGCTATGATATCACTCGTCCCCCGTCATAGAAACGAGGAGTTTCCACCACTGTCTTAGGGCTGTAAAACAACGGATGAGCTCCACCTCCATGCTCATTTGAGCAGAAAATCACTTGGATCAATGCAGCGATCCAGAGTGGTACAGTGGTCGGAGCGTGTTACTTCGCAATCAGAACGGCTGCCAGTTCAAATCCCAACCGGCGTTATCCAACCCCATCATCTCTCCATGGCACACAAGTCACATTTTGTCAAGTGAATTACCCCCTGCCATAGGAATGAGGAATTTCCACCACCGGCTCCGTGGTTGTGAATTGCATACGATCGTCGGTGAATATGTTTTCGACCGAGTTAACCGCCTCGATTGTATGCACATATATAAGTATATATTTGTACACACCAGTGCCGCCGACTCTTTTTACGGTATTATTATGATTACACGCGCTCTCCCGCAGCCCCAGAACCCGAGGCTAAATATACTCCGCAGGAGGAACCATGGAGACGGGGGGCACCGCGCACGACACGGGGGCAACACTGGGCCAGCGCGCCTCCGCGCAACAACACAAAAAAAAATCTCCCCCCGGGGCCGACTGACTTCGTAGCGCGTTGGCCGTTCCCGCACAACGGCAAGGCCCAAAACTTCGACGGTCGTGCACATCGGGCGGCCGACTGAGTGGCGGTGGCGGCGTTCACCGCCGGTCCACCGCTTCCTACCAAGAGGCAGCTGACGAGACGCCGAGAGGCACGACGCAGCTGCAATATTGGGTCTGTCAAGAAGGGTCCCTGCCAAGTCAGGGATATAACTGCTGCTGCTGCTGCTGGTGGGGGGGGGGGGGGGCACAAGCTGTCGAAGGTGGTCTCACCCCAGGGACAGACGGCAATCATAATAATGATGGTAATAAAGGAAATCGATTTCAACACATCCGTCAAAAGTTGAGTTTGTTATTGACGAATTTTTTTTCAACAGAAAATACGTATGGAATATTTGTGCTTTCGTCAAAAAGATCACCGCAAAAGTAGCTCAGAGGATGATTCGTGTTGTCTCATATAATCATGATCATCAGCCATGGATGAAGGCCTCCCCCAAGTCGCCAACACTTCTCACGATCGCGCAATGTAATAATCCGCCTAGCACCTGCACGCGAACTGATTCCATCGCTCTATCTCCATGTAAATCTGCTCTCCCAAGTATATCATATGATACCGTTTTTTTATCGCTACGTGACAAAACGTTTCCCACTTTGCAGGTCTGCAAAACCACTTTGGAAATAAGTTCCGTCAGGTTTGCTTATCCGGGCCATTCTCCTAACACGTTGGGGGGGGGGGGGGTGATGCATTGCTTTGCCAGACTTCGGAATAGACACTTCATCTCACGAGTTGGCACAATTGGAATTTAAAAAAATATACATATAACATTTGCTCAGAAAACACAGATGAAAAAAGATGGGGCTATGAACGCGATTCAAAAGTAATGGGGTTTTGATGATCACAGCGTGACATGTACAGCTACACCCCCCCCCACCATCCAACGCAACAGCTGTTTTTAAACACTGAGGCAGCGAGCAGCTGACAGCAGGGTAGGTGCGGCAGTCCACAGTATAAGGGGGGGCCTGCTGTTTTTCCAACAGCTCGCATAGCCCTCAAGGCTTCCTTAAGGGGGGTGATGCATTGGTGATGCATTGCTTTGCCAGACTTCGGAATAGACACTTCATCTCACGAGTTGGCACAATTGGAATTTTAAAAATATATAACATTTGCTCAGAAAACACAGATGAAAAAAGATGGGGCTATGAACGCGATTCAAAAGTAATGGGGTTTTGATGATCACAGCGTGACATGTACAGCTACACCCCCTCCCCCCACCATCCAACGCAACAGCTGTTTTTAAACACTGAGGCAGCGAGCAGCTGACAGCAGGGTAGGTGCGGCAGTCCACAGTATAAGGGGGGCCTGCTGTTTTTCCAACAGCTCGCATAGCCCTCAAGGCTTCCTTAAGGGGGGTGATGCATTGGTGATGCATTGCTTTGCCAGACTTCGGAATAGACACTTCATCTCACGAGTTGGTACAATTGGAATTAAAAAAAAAATATACATTTGCTCAGAAAACACAGATGAAAAAAGATGGGGCTATGAACGCGATTCAAAAGTAATGGGGTTTTGATGATCACAGCGTGACATGTACAGCTACACCCCCCCCCCCACCATCCAACGCAACAGCTGTTTTTAAACACTGAGGCAGCGAGCAGCTGACAGCAGGGTAGGTGCGGCAGTCCACAGTATAAGGGGGGGGGCTGCTGTTTTTCCAACAGCTCGCATAGCCCTCAAGGCTTCCTTAAGTCTCCCCATCCGTCCACAAAGGGGGGGAGAGGGGTCACCGCGCCTTCCAGTCGGCTCGCAACAAAAGGCGCCCTTCCCTGCCCCCCCCCCCCCAACCTCTTCGGGAAAATGCGACGAGTTCGCTCTAGCGCAGCGGCCACGCGGGTTGAGATCCGCCGGTCAATAATTCTCCGCACTGCTGCGTAACAACCCCGCGACCCCACACCCCCCCCCCCCCCCCCCTCAGCGTGTTCGCGAAATTGTACAGTGACACCTCGGGCGGCCGGACAGAGAGGGGAGCAGCTGCGGTCAGATCAAGCCGAAAAGTCTGGTCGCGTGAGAATAAGGACATGAAAAATGTAGGCAGCGGAAAAACAAATTGCAGCCGTCTGTATATGCCCGTGTGTGGTGCGCGTGTGTTTTAGCGTATAGACACAAAAATTAAAGAACTGTAGAGTATTGTGCGTTGTCTACTGTGCTGGTGAGTTGGTTGGTTCAGTGGTTGAGGGTACATCGGTCTCCCCCATCCCCCACAAACCAGCCCCTCCATCCCTCATCGCCCTCCCCTCCATTCCATACCACCCCATCCCCTCCATCCCCCATAACCCTCCCCACCATCCCCCATAACCCTCCCCTCCACCCACTACCACCCCTCCCCTACATCCCCCATAACCCTCCCCCTACATCCCCCACCACACCTCCCCTCCATCCCCCATAACCCTCCCCTCCATTCCCTACCACCCCTCCCCCCCATCACTCCTTCCCCCACCACTAACATATTGAGTGTATTGACTACACGTTCACACACTAACATACATATTTTAGACATTATACACTACAGTATACAATGTGTTGCGGTGCATTTCATTACACATCACCGATTTTGTATATTAGTCTAAGCAAACATTACGGGCAATATTTAATTATATCTTTGTTATTTACTTCCATTGGATAGACTGTTGATTTTTTATATCTTTTTTTATTGGCTGACACAGTCCAGCTAAGTGCGAATTGCAGGTAGCCAGGTGTTCCAATTAATTTCTACCTACGTGACGTTACCGAAAGAACCAAAGAGTATGGATTCCTGCAGTCACGAAAGCTTCAAATCAAGATCACTCGTCAAGTGTTTTGTGACATTTAAGAATTGCAAGAATCCCAATTCATAGTCGCTCGTAAGAAGGGATGCGACTAAAGCACATGTCCCGTAAATCCAGGTCACCCGTATTACCGTTCCCATTTCCCGATAACGACAACCACTCTTATTGACAACTTTCGTTCGGGAATCGCATTTTCCATGCCACAGTGGGCCAGCGGCAACAAACGCCTGCACGCTGCAACACACAGGCACGGGGGGGTCTCTCTCTCTCTCATCCGAAACAAAAACGCTTGCCACAAATGAACCACAATACCTCGCCGAAATCGTCAAGGAGCGTAAACAATCGCGCAAAATCCAGTCATCCTCGCAGCAGCAGCAGCAGCAGCGGCAGCTTTTGCCTAGCCAATCGACACAAAGACGGTCATCACATCGCGCGCTTAACTACCTCGCCTGTTATGCAGAAGGTCGTGAAGTTCGATCACAACCCTAACACCCGTAATATTTGGAGTTTGTATGTCCTCCCCGTGGTGGGTGTGGATTTTTCTCCGGGTAAAAACATGCGCTTAGAGTATTTGGCTGCTATAAATTCCCATGCGATAAGCCACTTTGTTAAGCTATCATTCGTGGCCAGATCGCTTCTGAAATAAAGAGCTGTAAACCTCAGCGGGCAATAACTGGTAAAATAAAAAGTTTAGTTTGGTTTTCAGATGCGCTTCTGTGGCCGTCTGGAACACTCTTTCTTCCGATATTAGGAAGCCTCTGGGAGCTATCCACTTTGAAATCTAGATTTGAAACTAACATCTTTAGAACTGCTTCTTGCGTTCAGTTTGCCGTCCTTCGCCCGCACCTCCGATAAACACGGCTGGCTACGTACGGTGTGAAAAAAAAGTTCAATATACAAGCGTGTCGAGCGGTGCGGTACGCACGTTGTACGCGGATACGATGAGCTCGATGACATTGCTGGAGTCGTTTGCGAGGATCCCAACTGTGGCGCCCGGCAGGAGCTCCGTGTAGCTCTACGCACGAACAGACACACGCGCAAACGACACCGTGGTTAGCTATTCGCACATCGTGCAGCCTTTACAAATGGAGCCATCTATACCGGTACTAGCCCCGTGCTGTTCTTGCGTATGATGAACAATGCGCCCCAGCAGATAAATGCCAATGTCAAGCGAGGTCTGCGAGCCACGAGAGGGGCTTCAGGAGGGTGTTTTGTGTGGTATTTCTGCTATTGCTCCTGCCCTTCTACTCCTCCGTTGAAGGGAGCGCAAGACTAGAGCGGTGTTACGACATGGGTCCATGGTTTGGGTTGTGCGACCACAATCGCTCGACTGTGTGCCTTGACCATTCGTGAAAGAGATGTGCGCGTCGGCCCGTTGATGTTGCGATGCCGTTGATGGTCACACCGACAGTGTCTTTGAGGGGGAATGTCAAAGCCGGGAGTTGCGATGGTTGGGTGTCGAATTACGTGCTTGTCCTGTTCCAATCTGATCGTACCCGTCACTTTTTTTTAATTGAGATAAAAAACCCCTGCGTGTTTGTGCACGCGTTTTCCCATTCAATTAAAACCGTTAATTTGAATCTGGCATTTTCTAGATCGTGTAGGATGCCGATACCAATAATCGATAGCGTGCAGCATGTCGCGCTCCAATTTGTTTTTTCAACAGGAGATCTAGGGCATTGGCAAGGCCACGGTTAGATATGCCACGGTGGTGGTGGTGGTGGGTCCATCTGGAAGCCTAAACCGTAATCCAATGGCCGTGATTTGAAAAACGCGGTCGCAACAACGACGCCATTCATTTGCACCCTTTTAATACAGCGACGGCGCGCACGCGGATATAATCCGTTAGCACGAGGAGAACTAAGCTACTGCGGATGATGCCTACAGCCCTTCACCAAACCCCCTAACACACCCATAATTCCCCCCACCCACAGTCTTATGTAATCCGACCCCAGGAAACACAAGCCCCTCCCCACACAATGGGCTGCTGTTGAAATTAAAGGCACGACATGCCTGCCTCATCTCCCACCGCCGTGAGCAACTCGGAAGAGGTTCAAAGAGGGCTTGGTTCAGGACCGACTTTACAAAGACAGCTGCCTGTGGCCCTGTCACACCGGGGCGTGGGGAGATCTCGTCGGATCTCGGAAATGAAACTGACCGAGCCTGGACGTGCTTTGGACGGATGACCACCCATGCCTAAAAAATATGAGCAAAAATATCTAAAACAGGCGACGTGTTGGGCAATGGCCCCTCCTTCAGAGCACACCAAGAAAGGTAATTTGCCTGAAACGTCGCCCTATAATTATTGTTTTCCGTTTGAAGCAGTGTTACTGACGAATGCGTAGAATTTCCGTGCGTTATTAGTGCTCGTGCAGCCAATGCCATCGCAGCATCGCCAAATAATCTGCTTAACCGTGCATAAGAGGCTGCTGCGGAGCTACGTGGTGGGCATTAAGCATTGTTGTACCGTGCTTACAGTGAGGGAAAAAAGTATTTGATCCCCTGCTGATTTTGTACGTTTGCCCACTGGCAAAGAAATGATCAGTCTATAATTTTAATGGTAGGTTTATTTGAACAGTGAGACACAGAATAATAACAAAATAATCCAGAAAAACGCATGTCGAAAATGTTATAAATTGATTTGCATTTTAATGAGGGAAATAAGTATTTGACCCCCTCTCAATCAGAAAGATTTCTAGGAGCACACTCTTAAAGGGAGTGCTCCTAATCTTAGCTTGTTACCTGTGTAAAAGTCACCTGTCCACAGAAGCAATCAATCAATCAGATTCCAAACTCTCCACCATGGCCAAGGCCAAAAAGCTCTCCAAGGATGTCAGGGCCAAGATTGTAGACCTACACAAGGCTGGAATGGGCTACAAGACCATTGCCAAGCACCTTGGTGAGAAGGTGACAACAGTTGGTGCGATTACTCGCAAATGGAAGAAACACAAAAGAACTGTCAATCTCCCTCGGCCTGGGGCTCCATGCAAGATCTCACCTCATGGAGTTGCAATGATCATGAGAACGGTGAGGAATCAGCCCAGAACTACACGGGAGGATCTTGTCAATGATCTCAAGGCAGCTGGGACCATAGTCACCAAGAAAACAATTAGTAACACACTACGCTGTGAAGGACTGAAATCCTGCAGCGCCCGCAAGGTCCCCCTGCTCAAGAAAGCACATATACATGCCCGTCTGAAGTTTGCCAATGAACATCTGAATGATTCAGAAGACAACCGGGTGAAAGTGTTGTGGTCAGATGAGACCAAAATGGAGCTCTTTGGCATCAACTCAACTCGCCGTGTTTGGAGGAGGAATGCTGCCTATTACCCCAAGAACACCATCCCCACCGTCAAACATGGAGGTGGAAACATTATGCTTTGGGGGTGTTTTTCTGCTAAGGGGACAGGACAACTTCACCGCATCAAAGGGACGATGGACGGGGCCATGTACCGTCAAATCTTGGGTGAGAACCTCCTTCCCTCAACCAGGGCATTGAAAATGGGTCGTGGATGGTTATTCCAGCATGACAATGACCCAAAACACACGGCCAAGGCAACAAAGGAGTGGCTCAAGAAGAAGCACATTAAGGTCCTGGAGTGGCCTAGCCAGTCTCCAGACCTTAATCCCATAGAAAATCTGTGGAAGGAGCTGAAGGTTCGAGTTGCCAAACGTCAGCCTCGAAACCTTAATGACTTGGAGAAGATCTGCAAAGAGGAGTGGGACAAAATCCCTCCTGAGATGTGTGCAAACCTGGTGGCCAACTAAAAGAAACGTCTGACCTCTGTGATTGCCAACAAGGGTTTTGCCACCAAGTACTAAGTCATGTTTTGCTGAGGGGTCAAATACTTATTTCCCTCATTAAAATGCAAATCTATTCATAACATTTTTGACATGCGTTTTTCTGGATTTTTTGTTGTTATTCCGTCTCTCACTGGTCAAATAAACCTACCATTAAAATTATAGACTGATCATTTCTTTGTCAGTGGGCAAACGTACAAAATCAGCAGGGGATCAAATATTTTTTCCCCTCACTGTATATGCTCCCGCGTCTACCTTGCCCACCTTCACAAATCCGCAACGACCTTCTGACCTTTGAGACTGTGCTCAGCAACTATGATTTAAAATAACAATGCGGGCCACATCTCAATCTTTTGCACAGGAGTGGGGGAGACAGGCCATTGGAAAGAGGTGAACGCAAGGATGAGAGGGAGGCTGGTCGAGATTCACGACGCAGATGAGAAGAGGGATTAATTGAAATACAAATGTCACGGAAGACATTGGGGTAGACAGGGAGTCAGTCATGAGAGCAGCGACTCGAAAGCAAATGTCAATGTGCTCATCAAGGAGATGATGTATTGTTATTATTAAGCTTGTCTGCCTCGCCGAGCCTCGACTCTTCATCAGGAGGGTCCTGTCAAATTTGCACAGCAGACAACGTTGCTTCTGCTGTGCGCTGTGATCCCAATTGAGTCATTTGCGGGTGATGTTTCGGCATTGGGATGTATGGTCAATACCAGTTAGGCGGCGTATTATTAACAATGGGAGAAAACCGGAGAATTCTGGAGGAAACCAAAGTAGAACACAGGGGGCAGAGAGAGAGAGACCATACAAAGTGCACGCAGAAAGGTGCCCCGAGTCGACAAACGAACCCCATGCCCTCCTTGCTGTTGGGCACCCGCGTTACCACGCGGCACCCTGCCGACCTGTACACAGGTCCAACAGAGGAGTGACAGCACACGGAATGGAGAATAGGTGGGGGGGAGGTGGTGGTGGTGGTGGTATCTACAAGTGGCACTGATCACTGAAGCAGAGAGAGCACGTGGAGGGGAGCAGATAAGAATAAGACGTGGACCAGAGGAGCAAAGACCTTACCTTGTACAGACCAAAATATGGGGTGGTCACGGCAAAAATTAAGTTGATGTTGTTTTCGGCCAACTTCTCACCGAGGAACCCCAGGGAGGGGTAATCCTACACAGAGAAAAAAATATTTTACGAAAAAATATATATGCGGGAGCATGTGAAGCTCATGCAGCAGGAATATTTAAGTGGATGAGCATGCACCACTGCCTCCGGCTGGCAGACAGTAAAAACAGACCTGTAGTCAACCGTAATTACAATTAGAGCAGCATTGTTACATGATATTTTAACCAAAATTACGTCGTGATTGCAACACATTACGAACTACAATTGTACTTGACCGCAGGTCTGCCAACTGGGAGCGGTTCATGAACCACGCCGACACGCAGTCCAACCACGAGCAGACACGGTACCAGATTAGCAGACAGCCCCAACTCTGTGTGTGGGCACGGCACAAGGCTGTGGGGACAGCCCAACCGTGTGTGTGTGGGTAGAGCACAATGTTAGCAAACGATAAATCTTTAGGTGGCTAATGCATCGAGCTACCGGACCACCCCAACACTGAGTGGGGTAATGCAACAGGTTGGCACAGGCCAACTGTGATTGGGTACTGCACCAGGCTGGCACCTCCGATTTCGCACCTCCCATCAGCACGACTTGCTCCGTACGGTGCGAAAGAAGTTCAATATACAGTCAGACTGACTGCACGTGTGTAATGCGTCAAGGCTGGCAGAGGCCAACCGTGAGTCGCTAATGGACGAGGCGGGCACAGTCCAACCGTAAGCACCGCCGCAGGCTGGCAAACAATCCAACGGTGAGCGTGGGTATCACACCAGGCTGTCGGCGGCCGAGTAACTGTCATTGTCGTCGAGGTGGCAGTGCCCGTCGTTGGGCCGCAGGACTCCACCGAGCCGGCCGTCCAGCGCCAGGTGCGAGGCTGCGTCGGTGGCGAACACCAGCAGGTGGGACGCCTCCTTGCGCCAGCCAATGCGATCCTGCGGGGCACACTCCCGCGATTGCCGGCCTCATCCAACACAGGTTGTTGGGGCAAGTGCTGTTAGCGGAGCACTTACGAAGGCAAGCACCATGCCCGGCTGCCTTCGACCTCTCCCCAGTGTTTTATAGATGACACCAGGTACTCATTTAGGGACAAGTTTACCTACAGAAGGCAACAGAACTGGTTCAGACAATCGCCACGAATGATGGCACAGCACGCGATTGTGCCACCACTCCTCACATCTAGCAACAAAGACAAAGATCTCCCGTATAGCCCTAACAGGCTGTTGGGGCAAGGGCTGTCAGCGAGCACCTTTGAAGGCCGGAACGGCACGCGAGGGGGTGGGTGGCTAGCACCACGCCCGACCGCCTTTGTCTCCCCAGTGGCGATGTTAACACACCGTACTAGGTACTCATTTTAGGGGTAGTCGACATAAGGGAGGCCCAGACCAGTTCAGATAATATAACCGTTGCTGGTGTTGGCCGTGAGCGGGAATCAAACTCGGGTCGCACGGCTCGGAGACTTAAACTTGGACGTGTCATTTTTAGATATTTGCCGTACGCTCGGGAGAGACTGGCAGACTACTGTCCCTGGTCACTCTTGTGAATGAGACTCAGCCGGGTCTCTTGCAGTTCTCACCACTGGGTTAAACAAAAATAAACTTTAAACTTGAATTTGCTGCCAAATGAAATTGTTGGCCTGAAGGCATCTCCCTAAGTCTTGCGAAGCAAGTGCTTGCTTTTGCTTGTGGTTTTGGAACGATTCGTGTAATGATTCAATGATTCTCGTACTCAGGATACATGCGTCCAAATTGTTTCCATAAGAGCCATTTATTTAAAATTTATGAAAAATGACATGCTAATTGCAAGCGAGTGTTGCCTGTTGGCTACTGAAAAGAATGAGAGCAAAACAGGATGGAACAGAGGAGGCAGAAGAAGCAAGCCAAGACGGTACAAATCGGAACCCTGAATTGCGACAATTCATCGAATCGCATCGAGGTCAGCGTATAATATCTATGCCTCATTTTAAACGCATTTCACCGTACTGCGATAAAATAAAAGTTATGAAGCTGCACTGAGCTCCCAGAACATTATACAGCTCGGGGAGGTTAGGGAGACTAAACTTTGATGGTATTGGTACGTCTTCTTTGGTTCTTTCGGTAAAGTCACGTAGAATGAGAATCAAATAATAAAATAACACAATAAAATTCTCACGACGTTTCGGCCACAACGCAAGCGGCCGTCTTCAGGTGAAAGGTACAGAACTGTCGGGACGACAGAGCTTCAATTGTGTTATTTTATTATTTTATTCTCATTCTACGTGACTTTACCGAAAGAACCAAAGAAGATGAATCCTTGCAGTCACGAAAGCTTTAAATCGGAATTTGGTACGCATTGAGAAGAGACAAAGAAGACATAATTTGAAGAGCTATGGGGGTTAGAGATCGACAGACGTCGCATAGAGACGCACAGACTCACACAAAGAGCCACAGGCGCATGGCACGAGGAGGAGAAGTTGGCCCCGATGCATTAGTGGGGCTTCTGGCTGAGAGTAAAATGTAAATCAATGGGAAATGATTCATAATAAAGGTTTTTGGGTTAGATCGCGTTATTTATAAATGTGTCGTAAACCCTCCACCACCCGACACGGCCAATCAGCAAAAAATGTGTCACGTTTACAAAAGAGAAATAGTTCACTACTTTAGCCCACCGGTGTGTTGAAGAGTGAATCCACAACATTTAAATGTGAATCCACAAACTGTAAATGCTGTGGATTCACTCTTCAACACACCGGTGGGCTAAAGTAGTGAACTATTTTGTCTTTTGTCAACGTGACACAATTTTTACTGATTGGCCGTGTCGGGTGGTGGAGGGTTACGACACATTTATAAATAACGCGATCTAACCCAAAAACCTTTATTATGAATAATATTGGTCGCGAAAGCCTGCTACGTGTTAAACTCAATGGGAATGATGCATGTATTATGCTCCGTGTGCACGGCGGGAGTGCAAAACAGAGAAAAAGGTAAGCAGGATGCAAAAATATAATTAAACACTAAATTAATTATTCACAGAAGTCGGATTTATCACCAACAAAAGCGTCCCAGACCACACCAAGACAACACCGCACGAGACGTGCGTGCGTGTGTGTGCGTGTGTGTGCGTGTGTGTGCGTGTGTGTGCGTGTGTGCGCGTGTGTGTGCGTGTGTGTGCGTGTGTGTGCGCGTGTGTGCGTGTGTGTGCGTGCGTGTGTGTGCGTGCGTGTGTGTGTAACCGCACTGAGGCGCAACGCACCCCGCACACCGCGGCCTGCATGATGGCATCGAAGCCACCCTCCGGAGCGTCCTTGTTGCGGGAGACGTTGAGACGCTTCACCTCCTCGTTGAAGCGGTCCACCTCGTCGGTGAGCGATAGCAGGTGGCGGAATCCGAACGACGGCACGCACTGCGGGAAGCGCTTGTACCTGCTCGGTGAGAGCATGGGGCGGGGGCGGGGGCGGGGGGGGCGGGTGCCACCTGTCACTCAAACGAAGTGAGAAGCGCACGGAAAATAACGTGGCTACGTGGGCCTCGTTTTGCTTTAAAAAAATTCCCAAGTTTGATGCCGATTGCGCTGCTGGGATGACGTCATGAGACAAAGCATCCACTCGGAACTACTGGAGGGCAACTTTGGGCCATTTAAGTGCAGGACCAATTTATGTATTGCGCAGTCATTGTTTGTGGCTCGGCACTAAACGAACAGGTAACAGCTATAAATTGATACAGTGGCGCTCAGCGAAACGGACGATACGCTGTGAACGTTACACCGTATGATGTATCATGCTATATTGGCATATCGTGGCCCACTCCACCATACCACGTCGAGCCACCGGTCGGACCAGCACAAACCCTTCGCTCAAATCCCACCACGTGAAAAAAAAATTTTTTTGTTTTAAACAAATCGATAAGAGAGGTCAACATCATGAGCGTTTGCACCAATTCACGCACCGTGAAGCAGGTCTGGCCGGAATGGGCATCCTGTTTCATCCTTCGTGTTCCGTGTCGACCGAGAGGTGCGTATGCACGCACGTGCGTCCGTGCGTGCATACGCACCTGCTTGCGGGAGTGCGTGCATACGCACCTGCTTGCGGGAGTGCGTGCATACGCACCTGCTTGCGGGAGTGCGTGCATACGCACCTGCTTGCGGGAGTGCGTGCATACGCACCTGCTTGCGGGAGTGCGTGCATACGCACCTGCTTGCGGGAGTGCGTGCATACGCACCTGCTTGCGGGAGTGCGTGCATACGCACCTGCTTGCGGGAGTGCGTGCATACGCACCTGCTTGCGGGAGTGCGTGCATACGCACCTGCTTGCGGGAGTGCGTGCATACGCACCTGCTTGCGGGAGTGCGTGCATACGCACCTGCTTGCGGGAGTGCGTGCATACGCACCTGCTTGCGGGAGTGCGTGCGTGCGCACCTGCTTGCGGGAGTGCGTGCATACGCACCTGCTTGCGGGAGTGCGTGCATACGCACCTGCTTGCGGGAGTGCGTGCGTGCGTGCGCGCGCGCGCTTGCGGCTTCTCACCCGGCGCAAGGATTGTGAAGGTACGCCGGCGCCGAGAAGGCGTAGGGAGAGGCCGGTTTGTCAACAAACGAGCCAAAGCCCAGACGCAGGTTGCTGGTGAGTCCCGCCATCTCCGCCGCCAAGCGCGAGCCGAGCAGCTGCATGGTGGCCAGGTCGTCGTGCATGGACAGAGACAGGTCCATCATGTAGTAGATGTCCACCGGGTAGTCTTCCACCTGGCGAACCCGAACTTCAAAGCTCACGGGGTCCCCTAGTCGGTGAGGTCGCGGGATCACAGACGAGTGTTTAGAGCAGAGGGGGAAACGCAGCCGCTCTGGGTATCGCGGGTGCCCAAACGGCCAATGCGCGTCTAAACGTCGCAAAGAAACACCAACAAAATGTTTAAGTAAAAATCACACGTTATATTCTTGGTTCTTTCGGTAAAGTCACGTAGAAGGGAAACAATAAAATAATAAAAATATAAAACAATAAAATTCTCACGACGACGTTTCGACTGCAACACAAGCAATCATCATCAGGTGTGAAAACCACAATTTTTCAAAATTTATTGTTGTGGTTTTCACACCTGATGATGATTGCTTGTGTTGCAGTCGAAACCTCGTGAGAATTTTGTTTTATATTTTTATTCTTTTATTGTTTCCCTTCTACGTGACTTTACCGAAAGAACCAAGAATATGAATCCCTGCAGTCACGAAAGCCTTAAATCAAAATAAAAATTACACCTTTGGCTATTCATTTTACTACTTTTGTTGGTGAAGTCGCGGAATCACAGACGAGTGTTTAGAGCAGAGGGGAAGCAGCCACTCTGGATATCGTGGGTGTCTGGACACGCAGAATATGTTTACACGTCGCAAAGAGACATCCACAACGTTTTAAATAAAAAAAAAAAGATCTTTGAGTCATCGTTTGACTACTTTTCAACAAAGTGATATGTCTACTTTATTTTACGCTTGTAAACAATAATCTTTCTAAACACTGCACACATGCACAATGCACCAAGCGATTTCCCACACTGGTGAACATAGGGAGATGCCCACTGGCTGTTTACTGCACTTAGCAAGTGGTGGAAATTACATCCTTGTGACAGATGTAGAAACCCACACCCCGATTATTCATAACTTCCCACAAAGCAGTACTCATTTGATCAACTCTAGAAGGCTGAATAGCCGAGTCAACCACCAACTGAATTTTGAATGCCCAGTCTTCCCATTGCCAGCTGTACTCCAACCACATAGCACGTGGACAGATAGACAGCAGCTGGTGGAATAAGATTCTTAATGAGCATGGTGCGGCAGAGCTGGGACGTCCACAACCATCCAACACCATCAGGGATAAGACCAGGCCCTTGGGAGGGAAATTTAGGGCCACGGAACATAACGTGTGGGAGCCCCCCCCCATCACTCGGCATGAAATATAAAATCAAATGCTTTGTATTTTATGTAGAGGCCCCCAAAGCACCGAACATGGGGCCCTGGTGTAATTATTTCACCTCTTCCCCGCCCCAACCTCTCATCAGACCGTGACTCACCGGGCCGCAAATTCAGAGTCACGGCTTGCGGCGACTGCTGCACCACAGCCGCTAAGCCGCCGCCGCCACCACCAGCCGCCGCAGTGTCCAACTTCTCGCTCAGCGGCCTATCCTTGGTGATCGACCACTGGCTTCTGGGAGCCTCGACCTGCTCGGCGGGGCAGCCGGCCTGCAGGAGGCGGTGAACCAGGTCACAGCGCGACAGGCCTCCCGCTGGGCTGCCCCTGAACTCCTGCGCGAGAAGGGAAAGGAGAGTTTCGGTTGAAAAGGGGTTTGATTGACCGAAGTTCTTGGGCTCTTCACACCCCAACTTTGGCGCCTGACGGGACAGAACGATGAATCGGAAGTAACGGGCCATACGGGACGGCGTGTGGCACAGTTTGCCGCCAGCTACGGTAGAGAGCAGCGGTCGTGTCGCCACAGTTCTCTGCGGTGAGTACAATGCCTTTGAAAGCAGCGGCACTACTACGCCTCTCTTAATCAAATTAACGCTTATCGCCTGCGCGTTCTGAGATTCAGCGGTGAACGGGACACCCACCCTGCAACTTGCAGACGTCTCGGAACGTAAAAGGGTTACGTGCCTCAGAAACTCCGAGCGCCTTCCATAAAAAATCTCATCTCAACCATTCCAATGCTCTGCTGCAGTCTAGCCAAGGGGCCCCTAGTGGCAGCTGTCCCTGTACAGCAGGAGGTATACGCAGCATGTCTATTCGTTTGCCAGTAGGGGGCGATACGCGTGTAAAAAAAAAAACACTTTCGCTGCTCACTTCATACTCTGGTTCTTTCGGTAAAGTCACGTAGGTATGAAATAAAACAAAATAAATTCAATCACGACGTTTCGGGCGCACACACAAGCGTCCGTAATCAGGTGGGACAACCACAGCAAGAAACAATTGCTCAAGTGGGCAAAAGGGGGCTGCTTTAACAAGAGGCTATATCGGTAAGAGATGGGGGGGGGGAGGAGCCAGCAGCACTTTTGCCCACTTGAGCAATTGTTTCCTGCTGTGGTTGTCCCACCTGATGACGGACGCTTGTGTGTTGCGCCCGAAACGTCACGTGATTTAATTTATTTCATTTTCTACCCACGTGACTTTACCGAAAGAACCAAAGAGTATGGATCCCTGCAGTCGCGAAAACTTCAAATCTCACTTCGTGTTGGCACCAGCCACAATCCGGGTGCAATAGCAGACATTCCTGGCATGAATCGGACCCTCCAAACACACACGGATTCCACTCAACCGCTTGTGCCCCATCTGCAAAGACACACACAGAGACATGTGTTGATGTTCATCACCATCACAAACTGTGGTCTATCCCATTGTTCAATGAACAGGGAACACAGGCTCCCTCCAATACTGTCAAGAACCCTCGTGGTCCTTCAAGAAAACACAATGCATCCGACTCCTGGTTTCGTGACATCCTCTCATCGCTCCATCTTTCACAGTGGTCGTGTACCCAGACAAGTCTGCTCGTTTTGCTGCCAAAGATGTCCTGTCTCATTCCTAACTTCCTTTTTTTTGCAGTCGATATTGCACGCGACTATAAATAAAACCCCAAAACACAGGAAGTTACAACACCAGAAACGGGACGAAAGGCGGACGCGCGCAAACAAACGCACGCACAAAGGACAAATGCTCGAATCTCCAATGCGACAGGAGGCACCGGTGCACGGATCGGAGGGGGGGAAAAAAATCAGAATCGTCACACTGCTGATGTCACAAACGAGCGCTGCTACAGACCCAGGCGTCAGGCTCGGGATGGAACCCACGACTTCCTGCACACCGGGCGAGGTAGTTAACATCTCATAGCCACCGTGATGATGATGAGAGAGAGAGAGACACGCAAACTCCAAATATACAGCAGCAGCAGCAGGCGTCAGGCTCGGGATCGAACCCACGACCTCCTGTATACCAGGTGAGGTAGTTAACATCTCATAGCCACCGTGATGATGATGAGAGAGAGACACGCAAACTCCAAATATACAGCAGCAGCAGCGGGCGTCAGGCTCGGGATCGAACCCACGACCTCCTGTATACCAGGCGAGGTAGTTAACATCTCCTAGCCACCGTGATGATGATGAGAGAGAGACACACACAAACTCCAAATATACAGCAGCAGCAGGCGTCAGGGTCGGGATCGAACCCACGACTTCCTGCATACCAGGCGAGGTAGTTAACATCTCCTAGCCATCGTGATGATGATGATGAGAGAGAGAGACACGCAAACTCCAAATATACAGCAGCAGGCGTCAGAGTCGGGATGGAACCCACGACTTCCAGCACATCGGGCGAGGTAGTTAACATCTCATAGCCACCGTGATGATGATGATGATGAGAGAGAGACACCGCAAACTCCAAATATACAGCAGCAGCAGCAGGCGTCAGGGTCGGGATCGAACCCACGACTCCCTGCATACCGGGCGAGGTAGTTAACATCTCACCACGGAGAGAGACACGCAAACTCCAAATATACAGCAGCAGGCGTCAGGGTCGGGATGGAACCCACGACCTCCTGTATACCACGCGAGGTAGTTAACATCTCCTAGCCACCGTGATGATGATGATGAGAGAGAGACACACACAAACTCCAAATATACAGCAGCAGGCGTCATCAGGGTCGGGATGGAACCCACGACTTCCTGCACACCAGGCGAGGTAGTTAACATCTCATAGCCACCGTGATGATGATGATGAGAGAGAGACACGCAAACTCCAAATATACATCAGCAGGCGTCAGGGTCGGGATGGAACCCACGACCTCCTGTATACGAGGCAAGGTAGTTAACATCTCCTAGCCACCGTGATGATGAGAGAGAGACACGCAAACTCCAAATATACAGCAGCAGGCGTCATCAGGGTCGGGATCGAACCCACGACCTCCTGTATAAAAGGCGAGGTAGTTAACATCTCATAGCCACCGTGATGATGATGATGATGAGAGAGAGACACGCAAACTCCAAATATACAGCAGCAGCGGGCGTCAGGGTCGGGATCGAACCCACGACCTCCTGTATACCAGGCGAGGTAGTTAACATTTCGCCCAACCCTGGCCCACGTGTTTACTGTTAACCTCCATGCTTTTCGGAAGTCACAGTAGCTTCCTGCTCAATCGAGCATGGGGTTAGTGCTCATATCCCGTTGAGCCGGCGACGGAAATTCCACATTCCTTAGGCGGGAGGGGAGCGAGCAATTCCAAATAACAATAAACCTTTGTGATAGGGTATTAACGTGTTTATTACTTAACCGTAAGTCAACCAATAGTGTGTGTAAAAGTTATTATAGTGTACATTTACTTCATCAATATGTACATACGCCGTCATATTATTCTCATTGCTGTACGTTATTAATGTGCAACTAAGTATTGCTGAGTTTGTGTTCGTAATTTCATGAGTTCTAACGTGTTATTCATGTGTTTGTTTATAGAATGAGTGTGTTCATCATTGCATAACTAAGGCGTTAATTATATGCTGAACATCGATTTAGAATGTTGATTGCATTTATCAATTAGTTACTGTGTTAAGGAGTTATTAATGTGCAAGTTATTAAATCAGTTGCCGTGTTTATTAGTTGGGTTACAAGTAGAGTCTTGGGGTAATGTGTTCACTTTAATGTGTTGATAAAAAAATGTGTAAATGTGTACTGTACATCACTGGATGAGGTGTACGATGCGTGTGTTAACCAAACACATGAGTTACTAACTTGTTAAGTTACTAACCTAAGTTACTAACTTGTTAGTAACAAGTCATCAACATTTAGTGACATCACTACTGTACTGTGCTAAGTGAACCACGCACGTGTTAAGTGAGGTGTACCGTTTTCACCAAACACACGAATTACTAACTTGTTAAGTTACTAACTTGTTAAGTTACTAACTTGTCCGTAACAAGCCATCAGTGTGTAGTCACATCATGCATGTACTGTAAGTGAACCACACACACACACGTGTTAGTGAGGTGTACTGTACATCAGTCAATGCAGTTGTCTGTGTTAAACCAGATCAGACGTTTGCATGTTATCAACGCCTATAGTCCCACGTTAAACATTGCCAGCATCATCATCATTATTATTCTTATTATAATATCGAGTAGTAGTGTTACACACAGTGGTATAATGTACAAGAATCGCACCTTTCAACAGCAGCATAAGCAGCAGCAGCATCAGCTGTTGTTGTTGCACGGCAGAAACGAGACCCATGTCTCTTTAACACCAACACCACCAACAACAACCACCACGAGGATGATGGAAGAAGAAGAGGAGGATGAAGAGGAGGAGGAGTAGGAGGGTAGCTCAGGGCCCAGACATTTCACACGACACGGGGCTAGGACGAGGTGGGAGACGAGTAGAAGTGATGATGATGATGGTGGTGGCGGTGATTTAGGGGGGAGGAGCGAACCCAACCAAGGCTTAGGGGGTGGGTGGTGAACCCGGGCGGATTTGCGTCACCAAACAGGAGGTTCGCATCCCCCCACAGCCAGCAACTCCCCCCACCTCCTACCTCGTCACCACCTCGTTAGCAGCAGCAGCATCATCATCACCACCACGCGAATTAAAGAGACTCCTGCTGCTACTGGAACTGCCCGTTGTTGTGTTGTGTGTCAGCTCGTTGTCCTTGCCACCACCGCACCTCTCCGATTTAGCACGGTTTGGCTACGTACGGTGCGAAAGAAGTTTAACATACACCCATAGACTCACGCAGAGACACAGAGACACAATTGACTCATACTTAGAGACCCATAGACTCACACAGAGACCCATAGACTTACACAGAGACCCAAAGACTCACACAGAGACACATAGACTCACATAGAGACACATAGACTCACACAGAGACCCATAGACTTACACAGAGACCCATAGACTCACACAGAGACACGTAGACTCACGCGGAGACACATAGACTCACGCAGAGACCCATAGACTCACACAGAGACACAGACTCACACAGAGACACATAGACTCACACAGAGACACATAGACTCACACAGAGACCCATAGACTCACACAGAGACACGTAGACTCACACAGAGACTCATAGACTTACACAGAGACCCATAGACTCACACAGAGACACATAGACTCACACAGAGACACATAGACTCACACAGAGACACATAGACTCACACAGAGACACATAGACTCACACAGAGACACACACAGAGACACATAGACTCACACAGAGACACAGACTCACACAGAGACACATAGACTCACACAGAGACACAGACTCACGCAGAGACCCATAGACTCACACAGAGAGTCATAGACTCACGCAGAGACCCATAGACTCACACAGAGACCCATAGACTCACACAGAGACACATAGACTCACACAGAGACACATAGACTCACACAGAGACACATATTCTCACACAGAGAAACAGACTCACGCAGAGACACATAGACTCACACAGAGAGTCATAGACTCACGCAGAGACCCATAGACTCACACAGAGACACAGAGACCCATAGACTCACACAGAGACCCATAGACTCACACAGAGACCCATAGATTCACACAGAGACACATAGACTCACACAGAGACCCATAGACTCACACAGAGAGTCATAGACTCGCACAGAGACACATAGACTCACGCAGAGCCACATAGACTCACACAGAGACACGTAGACTCACACAGAGCCCCATAGACTCACACAGAGCCCCATAGACTCACACAGAGAACCATAGACTCACACAGAGACACATAGACTCACGCAGAGACACATAGACTCACACAGAGACACATAGACTCACACAGAGACCCCTAAAAACTCACACAGAGACACGCAGACTCACACAGAGACCCATAGACTCACACAGAGACACAGACTCACACAGAGACACATAGACTCACACAGAGACACATAGACTCACACAGAGACCCATAGACTCACACAGAGACCTATAGACTCACACAGAGACACATAGACTCACACAGAGATCCATAAACTCACACAGACACGCAGACGCACACAGAGACTCATAGACTCACACAGAGACCCATAGACTCACACAGAGATCATAGACTCACACTGAGACCCATAGACTTATACAGAGACCCATAGACTCACACAGAGACACGTTGACTCACGCAGAGACACATAGACTCACACAGAAACCCATAGACTCACACAGAGACACATAGACTCACACAGAGACCTATAGACTCACACAGAGACACATAGACTCACACAGAGATCCATAAACTCACACAGAGACACGCAGACTCACACAGAGACTCATAGACTCACACAGAGAACCACAGACTCACACAGAGACCTATAGACTCACACAGAGACCCATAGACTCACACAGAGACACATAGACTCACACAGAGACCCATAGGCTCACACAAAGACCCATAGACTCACACAAAGACCCATAGACTCACGCAGACCTGTAGACTGACCCAGCCACCAATAGACTCACACAGAGACCCATAGACTCACACAGAGACCCATAGACTCACACAGAGACCTGCAGACTCACAGACACCCGCAGACTCACACAGAGACCCACAAACTCACACAGAGACCTATAGATTCGCACAGAGACCCATAGACTCACACAGAGACCCGGAGACTCACAGACACCCGCAGACTCACACAGAGACCCACAGACTCGCACAGAGACCCGTAGACTCACACATAGACCCATAGACTCACACAGAGACCCATAGACTCACACAGAGACCCATAGACTCACACAGAGACACATAGACTCACACAGAGACCTGCAGACTCACAGACACCCGCAGACTCACGTAGAGACCCACAGACTCACACAGAGACCCATAGATTCGCACTGAGACCCACAGACTCGCATAGAGACCCATAGACTCACAGAGAGACCCATAGACTCACACAGAGACCCATAGACTCACACAGAGACCCATAGACTCCCACAGAGACCCATAGACTCACACAGAGACCCATAGACTCAAACAGAGAGACCCATAGTTTGTTGGCTACATACGGTGCGAAAGAAGTTCAATATGCAAACTGTACATGCATGATGGCTAACTACCACAGCAGCAAAATCAGAATCGATATTCAAGACTAAAGGAGGAATCCGATGAGCTCTGAAGCTCTTTGTTTTGCACAGATGCTACGTAAAAGAGGTGCACGGTGGTTAGGACTTTAAAAAATATATATGCAACTACAACTTACCTCGTCACAGAGTTAATTAGACGGACCGGGCAAAAGATTACCTCGTCACAGTGTTAACTCGACAAGAGATTACCTCGTCACAGTGTTAATTAGACAAAAAGTACCTCGTCACAGCGTTAATTGCCCGGGAGACAACCTCGTTACAGCGTGAATTAGATAAATGGGCAAGAGATTACCTCGTCACAGTGTTAACTGGAACAGAGATTACCTCATCACACTGTTAATTGGACTAAAGATTACCTCGTCACATAGTTAATTGGACTAAAGATTACCTCGTCACAGTGTTAACCAGACAAGAGATTACCTCGTCAAAGAGTTAATTTGACTAAAGATTACCTCGTCACAGTGTTAATTAGACAAATGTGCAAGAGATTACCTCGTCACATAGTTAATTGGACTAAAGATTACCTCGTCACAGTGTTTATTGGACTAAAGATTATCTCGTCACAGAGTTAATTGGACTAAAGATTACCTCATCACATCGTTAATTAGACAAACGTGCAAGAGATTACCTCGTCACAGTGTTAATTAGACAAAAATTACCTCGTCACGGTGTTAACCGGACAAGAGATTACCTCGTCACAGAGTTAATTAGACAAACGTGCAAGGGATTACCTCGTCACAGAGTTAATTAGACAAAAAATTACCTCGTCACAATGTTAACCGGACAAGAGATTACCTCGTCACAGAGTTAATTAGACGAAGAATTACCTCGTCACAGCGTTAATTACGCAAGCCAAGTCGTGCCACGCATCTTATGAAGAAGGCACCTCGTCACACTGCGCAACGCGAACGAGGCAACCTCGTTACGCAAGTCAGTGGACAAAATTACAAACCTCGTCGCGTTAAACGACGCCAAATGTACGACAAGCCTTCGTCAACACGAATTACCGCGCAGGTCACCTCGTTAGAACCCTGCCTCATCACACTCAGACTAAGAGTCTCGCCTTGCACATCAGTTCCACAGACAACCTCATCGCGCCAATTATTAGCAAGGCAAACCTCTTCACGCTCATTATTTATCAAAGCATCCTCGTCACGCTTTGTCAAGGCAAAATCATGCTGGCTCGCTCATCATCATCATCGTCGAATACCTGTAAACCCCTTTTGGGGCCGTCCATAAATGACGTCACGCAATTTTGGACGATGTTTGACCCCCCCTCTCGTCACACGGCGTCACAAAAAGTCAGACCCCCCCCCCCTCAAATGTGACGTCACAAAGCTCTGCCCCCCCCCCCCCCCGAAAAAAACACATTTCCATTTTGAAATTAAAACATGCTTCAAATCGCTTTAAACGATTGTCATTGTAGTGCGTGTTTAATGTGGCGCTGCACTCTGATGTTGTAGGAGTGTTATTAAAACAATTGGTGTTGTTATAACAATTCTATATTTATTTAAAGTTGCGCATTTTTAAGTGACGTCACATTTCTCACCCCCCCCCCCCCCCTCGTCACACATCGTCACAAAAATCTGACCCCCCCCCCCCTCCGTAGGTGCGTGACGTCATTTATGGACGGCCCCTTATTACAGACCAACTCAGACCTTAATTGTCACCTTGTGCCCCTTATAAATCTCAACGTTCATCCTATAAAGTCACTATACACTACATTACTATACACTACATTACTATACACTACACTATTACATATCTGTCAACCCCTTATCAGTGCCCTATCTTATTACAGAACAAGTCAGACCTTACTGGTCACCCCGTGCGCCTTATAAATCTCAAAGTTTAATAATAGGGTTTTTCCCCTTTTTTCTGGCAACAAAACTGAAACCTTTTTTTTACAAGGATGCATGTCTGCATTAACCACAATACCTGCAGTCAAATTGCAAACAAAATACATACTATGATAATATATGATGCATTGTCCTTGAAACTGATTGGTCCACACCAAGGGACGGCTTTCTTTTGAGCCTCGACCCAATTGGTGCTCGACCAGATGACAATGCATATATTATCATAGTATGTTTTTTTGTTTGCATTTCGACTGCAGGTATTGTGGTTAATGCAGCAACATGAATCCTTGTGAAAAAAAAGGTTTCAGTTTTGTTGCCAGAAAAAAGGGGGAAAACCCTATTATTGTTACATTTTGGTGTTGGCAAAGGAGGTCTAACGATGTAGAAACTCAAAGTTCATCCAGCAAAAACCCCATCACAAGCGAGAAACACAAATAAAATAGACAAAACAAATGTGATTTGTGTTGCCCGTATTGAGACGGCTGCACGCCGTGTGGACCAGAAATCCTCCAAATTTCCCTGCACAAAGAATAAGGGGTTTAAACCGTGATGGCTTGACACGGTATGCCCATCGGCGTACGCAGGCCATCGTTTG